ACACCAAGGTGGCGGGAATAGCCAACCCTTCAGAAGAGGGAGTGAAGACGCAGAGGGATCTGGGCCTTATCCAGCAAAGACAATTTAGTGGTGAGAAAAAACAAGGTTTTTCACTTAGGCAAGGGAAAAAAATGCAAATGCACAACGATAGAATAGGTAACACCTAGCTCAGTGATGGCTAACCTATGACACGCGTGTCACTCGTGACACGCTGAGGCACTTTGACTGACACGCCTGTTGGTGTGGGGAAAACCTGCACATTTAGAGGCTGCCTGTGCTCTGCTCCAATCCCTGCTCCCTGCTTATTGCGTGGAGGCGTGGTGTCACCGCTGCCGCAAGATCTTTGCAGCAGAGAGCCAGTTTTAACCACCATAAACTGAGGTTTGTCAGTTTCATTACCTCAGGAACGCTACAGGAGGAAAGGAGATCCATGAGGTTCGCAGCCCTGTAAGGTGGCCTTCCGATCCCCACATCCTGCACCTGCAGCCCTGAGACCAGGGAGACGAGGTTCACAGCCCTGTGTCATCACCCCAGCCCAGTCCGTCATAAACCAAATTATTGATATTTCTTGAAGTGACACATGACCCGGGGAAGGCTGCACTTTTTCCCAATTTTCGACACACCAAGCTGAAAAGGTTAGCCATCACTGACCTAGCTCAATTGTAGTGCCTGTGAGAGGGATCCTGGAGTCCTAGTGGACAACCATTTAAGCATGAGCCAGCCATGTGCTGCAGCTGCCCAAAAGGCCAATGCAATCCTAGGTTGCATCAACAGAAGGAGAGCATCAAGATCACGAGAAGTATTAATTCTATTTTATGCTGCACATTTGGAATACATTTGGAATACATTGTATACATTTGGAATACTGTGTTCAGGTTTGGTCACCCAGATACAACCAATGATGTGGAGACCCTGGAAAGAGTGCAGAGAAGAGCAACCAGGATGGTTCGGGGCCTGGAGCCTAAAACAGATAAAGAACGGTTGCTGGAATTGGGTATGTCTAGTCTAATGAAAAGAAGGACTAGGGGAGACAGGATAGCAGTCTTCCAATATCTGAGGGGCTGCCCCTAGGCGTGGGATTCTACCAGTTTGCACCAATTCGCTAGAACCAGTTGTTAGAAGAAATTCCTGGGCTAATCCTGTAAGGAAGGCAGGAAGGAAACATTCTGGTGTTGCTTACAGAAACTGCCTCTCTGTTAACCCTGATTACATTCTTGGCAGGACTAGACTTCCTGTCTCTGGAACTTCTCTGGAGTTTTTTTCCCCTCCTTTGCTGGTACTTTGCTTGTGTGGAGGGACCATTCAAAGTTACAATGGCACTGAAAAAAGTGACTTATGACCATTTTTCACACTTACGACTGTTGCAGCATCCCCACAGTCATGAGAGGCCAGGCGAGGAGATGAGTGCCTCGATGTGTGATATTGAGTTGGCCACGCCCAGCCAATAACATGACCACCAAGCCACGCCCACCACCTAAGCCACACCCACAGAACCGGTTGTTAAAAAAAATTGAATCCCACCCCTGGCTGCCCCAAAGAAGAGGGGATCAATCTATTCTTCAAAGCCCCTGAAGGCAGGACAAGAAGCCATGAGGATGGAAACTAACCCAGGAGAGAAACAACCTGGGATTTTCCTGACAGTGGGAACAATTAATCAACAATTAACATGCCTTCAGAAATTGTGGGGGCTCCATTTCTGGAGGTTTTCAAGACGAGGTTGGACCACCTTTTGTCTGAAACGGTATAGGGTCTCCTGCTGGAACAGGGGGCTGGGCTAGAAGACCTCCAAGGTCCCTTCCCACTCCGTTATCCTGTATCCTCTGTTATCCTACGTCTTGAGCAGGGGAAGTTTGGACTAGAAGACCTCTAAGGCCCCCTTCCCACTCCCTTATCCTGTCTAAAAGCGCCTCTTGCTTGAGCAGGGGCGGCGGGGGGAGGGGCAGGGTTAGACTACCAGACCTCCAGGGTCCCTTCTTCCCCACTCCCGTCATCCTGCCTTCGGGATCGTTCCGGCTTTTCAGGATGGGGGCGCCCAGATGGTCTCAACGGGCGGGGGCTGGGAAGAGGCGACCCCTTGCCCAGTCGCCGCCTGCGGGACAGCAACCAGGGGCGGCTAAGCGGCGGGGACCTAAGACCCTCCCCCGCCCCCTCCCCACGCTCCCTTCCTTCTTGGGGTCGGGGGCTGCGCGGAGTAGGGCGGTGGGAGGAGGAGGAGGAGACGGTGGATCGACTCAGCTGCTGCGCAAAGCGGGAGAAGCAGCAGCAGCAGCAGCAGCGCCTGCCCGGCGGATCGCGATTCCTCTTTTCCCCCCCCCTCCCTCCTCCTCCTCCTCCTCCTCCCTCGGGGGGTCTCCCGTGCCAAACGGAGGCTTAAGCAAAGCCAGATGGCGGGCTGGGCTTGCAACAGCCTCAGCAGCCGGGACTTCAGCTGACAGTCGTCCCCCCCCCCTCCGCCCCCCGTCCCCAGCTCTCCTGCCCGCTGCGCGCCGCTTTGCGCGGAGCCCGGGCTTGCAAAGAAGCAGCTGCAGCCTCCAGCAGCCGGTGGAGGAGAGAGAGAGAGAGAGAGAAGGAGGGAGAGAAACCCCGCCATCCCCGGCCCTGAAAAACGAGGCCGGCCGGCCGAGCATGAAGAATTTGCAGCTGATGGAAGCGGCGGCGGCGGCGGCGCCCCGCTGGAAGCGCTTCTGCCTGAAGGAGTTGCGCGGCATCCAGAAGCTGAAGCGCAGGAGCCGGCCGGGCTTAGGAGGAATGGGGCAGGCGGGGGTCCCGGAGCAGCAACTGCAGCAGCAGCAGCAGCAGCAGGCGGTGCGGCCGCGACCCCCGGGCTTCCCCCCCGGAGGCGGGCGAGGCGTCGGGGCTCTGCCGGGGGTCGCGCCCTTCCCAGCGGCGCTGCGCTGCCCGAGGCCGCTTTTCCCCGAGGAGGAGGAAGAAGAGGAGGAGGAAGAAGAGGAGGAGGAGGAGGAAGAGGCGCCGCCGTCCTCCGCGGGGGTCCCCAAGAGCCCCTCGCCCGCCGGGACCCTCCCCGCCCGGCTCTTGTATCACGGGGGTCTCCAAGGCGGCGGCGCCTCGCCTCGCCAGCGCCCCAGCGACCCGGCCGGCGGCGGCAGTAGCGGCAGCGGCGCCGCCTCGGAGATCAAAACGCTGCAGCAGAGCCGGCGGCTGCTGGCCAACGCCCGCGAGCGGACCCGGGTGCACACCATCAGCGCCGCCTTCGAGGCGCTCCGCAAGCAGGTAAGGCGGCTGCGACCCCCCCATACACACACACACACACACACACACACCATCCCCACCTCTCCGGGCTCCTGGGGAAGGTCGGAAACCCACCACACACACACACACACACACACACACACGCAGGCACGCACAGGCCGGGACCCCGGTGGGTCCAAAATAGAGTGGACGATGGGATGGGATGGGGGTCTCTTGTCTCGAGCAGGGGGTTCGACTAGAAGACTTCCGAGGCCCCTTCCAACTCTGTTATTCGGAGGAGGAGGAGGGAGGGTTTCCTGCTTTAGCAGGGGGTTGGACTTTAAGACCTCTGAGGCTCCCTTCCCACTCTGTCATTCTGTATAAGGCTCCTGCCTTGAGCAAAGAGTTGGACTAGAAGACCTCTGAGGTTCCCTCCAACTTGATTATTCTGT